GCCAAGAGCTCCCCCCGTCCCCACCCCGTGGTGCCATCTGCCACATGGCTGGCACCACTCCTGGCAGCCCGGTGCTGCTGGAGCCTGCCTAAGGCAGCTCGTGGGGGCTGGACTGTGCCATGCGGGGGAGGCTGAGGGGGCAGCGGTTAGCTGTGCCCCCATGAAAAGCACAGCGCAAAGCTAAGGCCCCTGCAGCAATCAGCACCGTGCAGGCGCGTGGGCATCCCGGGTTAGCGCTGGGGGTGAGCACCGTGTGTCCATCCCCACGTGCAAGGAAAGCCCCGGCACAGGGCCTGCTTTGGACACTGTGTTACCATGGGAACGCCCCCACCCAGCCTTTCCTGCTCTGGTAATGGCGTCAGCTGCATGGTTTGGCCTCCTCCGAGCCCTCCATTCAGCAGGGGTAGTCCCCCCCCACTCGGCCCCGTCAGCGCTGGGACCGTCTGGTGGCTTTGCTGAGACTGTTTGAGGGAGGGCCCCATTCAGAGCAGGGGCCACTGACAGTGTGGGTGCAGGATGGGGCTCAAGTGATCTGGGGTCTATGCCTGGCTCTGCCACTGGACAGCTGGGTGACCTTGGGCAAGTCACTTCACTGCCCCGCTCCTCAATTTCCCCATCTGTAAAATGGGCTACGGAGCCCATCCTCCTTTGAAAAGCGCGTCCAGAGCTATGCGTGTAAAGTGCAGTAAGAGAGCTTGGGATTATTACTGCTCCTGGGCTTGGTGCTATGTGCATCCCACAGAGCCTGCAGCTACCTGGGCTGCACAGAAGAAAGAGGGGAGGGGGATGAGAGCCCAGTGAGGAAGTGAGCTGGCCCAGGTCACACAGCAGGGCCGGGCCAGACCCCAGCTCTCCCTCACTCTTACTTTTAGCCCATTTTATGATCTTTTCCCAGGCCCTGCCTCTGCCCCGGCCCCTGCCCTCCCCGTGAACATCTCCACGCAGGAAGCACCAAAGCCCAGCGCTGCCTGGCGTGCTGGGGTGGAGAAGCTCCTGGCAGGCTTGGGCCCAGGGAAGGCTGGGAGGGGGCATGCAGAGGCAGTTTAAGTGGAAGTCCTGGGCTCCTGTTTCTCAAGGTGAGGTGAAATTGCCACTCTCAGCTCTGGCCTGGGCCCCCCCCACTCTGCTGCCAGGCTGATCCCAGCTGTCGCCCCACAGCGCTGGGGGCAGGACCTGGCTTCACTTTCCCAGCCAAGCTGCTCAGCCCCACAGCTCCCAGCCAATGCCCAGCCCCAGCTTGCAGGTCGCTCCTGAGAACACACAGGCCCAGTCACCTCCCCGGGCTGCTCACTCCACACACAAGGGGGGCTGGGCTACAAACAAGCGCCAACGCTCTTGCTGCCTCTGAAAGTCACAGGAAGGGCTCTCGCCCCAGCACAGAGCAGTTCCCAGTTTGGCACTGGGCTTAGCTGCCTGTGCAGCAGGTTTCCCCAGAAAGGATCCTCCCTCTTCCCTGCACCCTCCTTAGCCCTGGCTCCCACTGTCTCCCCAGCTGGGCTTTCCTGCCAGGCCCCACAGGGGGAGGTAGGAGAATTGTGTTCCCAATGCAGAATCCTGGGCAAGTTACTTTACCACTCCCTGCCTCAGTTTCCCCTCCTAAACTGGAGGTGAGATTTTTGTGCTGCAAAGTGCTTTGGGGTCAGAGAGAGAGACACGGGGGAGCTGCTGCTTGGGGCAACAGGAATAGGGCTCCCAACAGACACAGCAGAGGGAGTCCATGGTGCTTTGGCCACAGAGCCTGGACCCCAGTGTTTGCCCACCCCCAGCCAGGCCCCCTCGCCCTTAGGTCCTGCATTAGCACCAAGTGTCTGCTGGTGCCACTGAGCCTCGTGGCAAGATAGGCTCAGCTGCAGGGTAGTAGGAGCACAGGCCGGGCTGCGAGAGCCAGGAGCAGATAGGACCCAAAAACCAGCCAACACACATTCCCAAAGTGAGACTCCCTCCCCTGACCCGGTCCCTGGCCTGGCCCATAGCCCAGCCTGGGACTGCTAAGCAGGTTGGGGGGGGGGTGCGGAAGGAGAGCCCCAGCAGAAATGAGATGGGATGCAACTTGCTCCACTTACTGGCTCTAAGTGGCTTCTATGCCTAGGCGCTGCCCTCCCCAGCCTGGCTGGCTCAGCTGGACCTGGCTCTCCCCGCCATGGCTTTGGGGAGCACTGGATACTGAAATGATGAGACCTTGCAGAGTCCCCGTGTCTAGCTGCCGGCGTGGTGCTTGTGTAAATCATTCAGCCTCCTGTGACAGGCAGCCTGGTTCTCCAGAGTCCAGGGCATGTCCTGGCTGTGGCACGAGGGCAGCTGGCTGCAGGATTCAGTCTGGTCTAGTCTCTAGAGAGGGCCGCTGCCCCTGCAAATCTGTACATGCTAATGCCAGGCTCCTAGTCACTGGGTTGTTTGGGGGACAGGCCCTTTAGGGCCCTGAACAGGTTAAACAACCACCAAGGTTGCATGTGCCAGTGCCCTACAGGACTAGGGTTGCCAGATGGTTTAAGCAAAAATACCAAACACCCTCCCTCCTCCTCTTCCTACATGCCCCCCCCCCCAAAAAAAAAACAAAAACACCGGGGAAAAAAATTCTGATGAGGGGGAAAGAAAGGGGGAGACCAAAGTTGAGCAAAAAAAAAAAAAAAAACTAAAAACCTGCGGTGGCCCCTTTAAGAAATGCCTTTGAGGCTTTTTGGCCAGACAGCTCCCCTGTGGATTAGACAGTACCTGGGATTTTCGCCTCTCTGAAAAAATCAGAAAATACCAGACTGTCCAGATCAATACTGGCCACCGGCAACCCTACACAGGACTTGTGGGCCTTGCCCCTGAGCCTGGCTCTGTCCGCAGCTCTGGCCAGTCTCTCAGGCTGGCAGATCACTCCTGCCCTCTTCTCCATGGGAGGTGCCACTGCCAGGCTGGGCCATGGGGCCTCAAGAGCAAAGGCACCAAGCAAACCCCCTGCCTGGCCAGCTGCCCCTGTGGGTTTCGCTGCCTCCCCCACCCTGCCAGTCTGACACAGCCCCTGGAGAAAGGCGTCTCCCACAGAGCTCAGCCGGGGAGCAAAGGGGCTTGGGCCCGGCTGCCTGGCCAGGACAGGCGGAAGCAATAGCGGAGTCTGAGAAAAGGCGCAGAGGCCGGGGCAGCTGGGTTTTAAGCCCGGCCCAGGGAGTTTCTGTGGGAGGAGACTGGCCTTGCGGGGTAGACGGTGGATGTTGAGCCGGCAAGGATCTCCGAGCCCCCCACAGGCTCCTCATGCTCCACTAGCAGCGACATTTTGCAATTGCTTTTGCTTTCTCCTGGAGCCCCCCAGTCACACAGCTAGTCAGCAGCCGGGTCCTGAGAGCCCCTCCCCACCTCTGACACTGGCGTGGGCCAGGGCAGGGCCCAGCTCAACATGCCTGCTTTTGTTTCCGTTACAGCAACACTCATGTCTTGAAGGAGAAGCTGCTGATCAACTGCACGTATTTCCTCTGCAAAGGCCTGCACGCGCCCATGGACCTGGTCTCCCTGAGCACGGCCTCTGGCAAGCGCCTCTTCTCCTTCCTTAGCTTCGGCTGGGGCTTCATCTCCGACGTGGACATTGCCAGCGAGAAGTACCGGAAACTGGGCAACGCCCGCTTCACCGTGGGCACCGTGCAGCAGCTGGCCGCGCTGCGGGTCTACAAGGGCCGCCTGGCCTACCTGCCCGTGGAGACCTCATCCTCTGTCGTCTCGGCCCCCCGCAGCCAGCAGAGCAGCCCCCATGCGCCATGCAGCAACGGTCACCCCATCCACATCCTCCCTCAGCCTGCACCGGGGGCGCTCCGCTCCTCTCACGGGGGGCCAGAAGACTCTCTCCTGGTGCCCTTTGACCAGCCCGTCCCAAGCCACTGGACCATTGTGCCCGAAGAGGAGTTTATCTTGATTTTTGCCATCTACCAGTCGCACCTGGGAGCTGACTTCACCATGGTCCCTAAGGCCAAGCTCCATGACAGCTCCATCCATCTTTTCTACCTCAAGGCTGGGGTGTCTCGGCTGGTGCTGCTCAAACTCTTCCTAGCCATGGAGAAGGGGACCCACCTGGAGCTGACCTGCCCCCAGCTTCACTACATCCCCGTGAGGGCCTTCCGGCTCGAGCCCTTTGCTGCCACCGGACTCATGACGGTGGACGGCGAGCCGCTGGCATGTGAGCCGGTGCAGGGCCAGGTGCACGACCAACTCTGCAGGATCATCTCTGGCTCCTGAGACCCCCACCAGCTTGAGAAATAAACCATTTCAAAAAGGGCTTTGACCATGTGCGTCCCTGAGTCCCTCGGGCTAGAAGCCCTGCAGGGGATGCTTCCACCACCTCCCACCACTCCGTGTCCATTCCAGCCCACCCCTCTCTTCCTCACACTTGTTCACAGGGCTCCTTGGTCCCCTGCCCACCTCCTGCGTCCCACTCTCCCCCGTGGTCGCACGGATGGGCCAAGTGCTAGGAGGTTTGAGGGTGGGGGAGGACACAGAGTTTGGCCTGCCCAGTGTGCAAGGAAGCTCTGAGCTGGAGCTCCGATGAGACACTAGGATCCCGAATGGGAGAGGGCTGCAGGGCAGCAGATGGTACCAAACAGGTACAGTTCTTTCAGGTCAGATTAGCAGCCGTCACTCCCAGTGTAAGCACTAGGCTGCCTCTCTTTATGGCTGCTTCTAGATCAGCCTCCATGCAGGGACTGGCCAAACCTAGGCTCTCCACGGTACAGGTCCCCTCTCCTTTCTGCTCTGGGTTCTCCACAAGGACAAAACCACTCAACAAGACGCTAGCAGCACAAGTGGAGTGCCCCAGAGACCGAGCACACCAGCAGCACCAGCAGTGGGCGCTCAGCCCACGGGGCCGGCAGGGAATTGAGAAGTAGCTCCCCACAATTAACTCCTTGGACCAATGTTTATTACAATTATTTTTAAAGAAAATGTTCTACCAAAAGCTCCATGTTGACTCACTTTATTCTTAGACAAAACAATAAAGATTTAGCTTTTCTACACTGGGAGGCCCTTGCTGTTCTATTGTGGGCACTCTGATTTCATTGCAAACCTAAGCATCTTGAACTCCCCCCTCCCCTCTGCACCAGGACAGCTGTGGCATAATACACAATGGAAGCAGTAGCATCACTGGGGTTCCTGCTTTCAGGCTTCACCACAAGGAGTGGGGGAGGATTGCTCCAAGTCTGCTGCATGGTGGTGTTTGCACACCCCAGCCAGCCAGCTAGTAAATTCCCTTCTTTCCCACAGTAGAGACAGGCTGTGAACTTGGGCCCAGAGATGGGATACAGAGGGTCAGCACAATCCAATGTATTAAAAATTGATCGGGCAGAGACCATTGGCTTTATATGTTTAATTGTAGCAGGGAAAACCACCAACCATCTGTTTCTGGGGTTTGCTTTAGACATTTTGGAAAAAGGAGGCAACAAAACCATCCAAAATTTTACAGAATTGATCTTTGTAAAAATCCAAAAGCATAGGATTCCTTGGTGGTCAGATTCCACAACGAGGGGCAGCCTTATAAAAACCTAGATCACGTTCATGTCCATGGTAAGGATGTTAAATATCAAGTAATTGAATAGTCAAGTAACAATTAATTCTTATTGGTTAATTAACCATCCCATAGCTCCCCTGAGGACAGGGCCAGCACAGGGTGCCAGGTGGGAGCTAGTCTGCAAGGGGAACCAGTTTAAAAATCTCCTCCTCTTACAAACAGCTGCTTGTCGCCCTGTGCTGCTGCCTTGGATAAAGAGGCAGCAATGTAGGGTGGCAGCAGCTCCTTTTTGGGTGAGGCAGGTCTGAGCTCCTGGACTCAGCGTGAACTGCTTGCCCAGCTCCTAATACACTTTAAACACAGAGCCACAACAGGGGTAGGTCCCAGACCTGGCATGAGCTGGGCTGCTGGTCAGCCTGCTAAAAAGTTTAGTGGCTGGGGAAACAGGAAGGAATGCCTGTAGTCTGTAGCATTAACCTATAAGCTTTTGCTTATCAGTTAATCAACTACACTATTACTGTGTGCTCTAGTGTCGGTTGTGGTAGGTGGACACAGCTGTAAAGAACACACTCCACATCTGTAATGCAGCTAGAGCATTCTGTGACTTTCAGCACACACATAGCTATGTGAGCTCAATAAAAATGCGTGTGGGAAGGAGCTGGCTGTGCAGACTGAGCCGCCCCTGAGGCTACCTAGTCCAATGGGTGAACACTGATTAATATAGTGGCACCATTTTTTTTTGGATTGCAACTAATTTTTGGTCAAAAGCAACAGTAATTAAAACAGATTTACAATGTTCAGCCATGAAAGTAGAACAGACATTGCTGTTCTCATTTATTCATCTGCAAATTATGCAATTAGGATTCCAAAGCAAGGGAAAAAAGTCTAATTGTTTGCCAGCCAGTTATGATTAAAATCAGTCACAGTTTAGTTGGAGCTGGTCCTTGCTTTGAGCAGGGGGTTGGACTAGATGATCTTCGGAGGGCTCTTCCAATCTTCTATGATGCTATGAAACAGAGCTGAGTTATTGTCAAGGAAGGTAACAAACAGGAAGCATCTCCCAAACGAAGGGGAAGGGATCCTTCCATGTGTTATTTGGCAAGGCATACAAATGGATGCAGTGATGCTTTGGTCTAAAGAGGTAGAAATGTCTCCCCCCAACCAATGTTGCAGTCTCAGTTCTGGTTCAGCATCTGAACAAGTCTCAGGAGAATTCCATCACAAGCACATGCAGGAAAAGCCTGGCCGGCCTGCTCCAGCAGCTCTGGAATTTTATTTCATAACTTCACGTTTTTCAGGAAATTCCTGGATTCCTAAGCACTTGATCTTTTTATAGCAAATTGATTTTCAAGAGAGCCCTGCACAGGTACACTCTGCAGCTTCTCTGCAGTTTGCAGCCCAGTTCCTCTGCTCTCCAGACTCCAACCACGAGGTCAGCTTTGGTTTTATAGCAGCCATCCTGTTTCCTATGCCTGCTCTCCTAGCTGAGTCAGGTGTCTGGAATTTGGTAAGCAGGTTGGCATCAAAAGCTTTGGTTACCCACAGCAGCTTGTCTTTGAGCCAAGCTGTCAGCCTGTGTGCCACAGACAGGTAGAGAGGTTCACATCCTGTTGCATACCTATGCCTCCCTGCAGGGTGCCGGGCCTCCCTTGAGTAGCTGTCCCCCTAGAACTACCCCTTCTGTTTTCTTTGAGAGAAAGCCATCAGAGCCTCCTGCCTCTGCATGCATCCCTACCGG